GAGCAAACGTTTATTCATTTTTGTAAGGAGACAACGGATCAACACAAAGTCCTTATACAAATGACATATATCTTTATTTATGACATATGAGCGTTAATAAGGCATATCGCAATACTGGTGTAATTCATTATATATATAAACCTTTTTGAAAATCACTTAATAACACAATTATAACAACCCCTTCCAAAATACCTAATTTTTTAGTTAAGCCATTATTTAAAGAGTGTGTATTCAATACATAAAGGGACATTACAACAGCGACAGCGACTTTTTTCGCATTTTATACTATGTAATGATTTCATTTAAATCAGTTCAGTAATGAGCGAGACAGACATAAAATCATATTGAGTTTCGCATTTATAATATTAAAGGTAATGATATATTATATTGAGTTTCGTAATATAATATATTATCTATTGAGCATTCCTTGATCATACTAAACTTTCGTCGTTAATGAAATTTTGCACAATTCCTTGCGACAAAGGGATCCAAGGAGTTACGAACAAAGGATTTTTGTGAATTCCCATGATAATTGGTTATGATACATTCTGCAGGTATGATACCACAGGAAACTGTTAATTATTTATTATTTTTTTATTTTATTATTATACATCTATACATATAAATAAAACTGAATTGTCTGTTTGTAATATTGAAATAACCGTTTTCTACTACATACAGCTGAATGTAAATACAGTACATACACCGAAATAACATTTTTTACAATTTTTGTCTAACTGTCTGTCTGTCTGTTTGTTCCGTCTAATCTCTGAAATGGCTGGACCGATTTTGACAGGATTTTTATTGGCAGGTAGATGACGTAATAAGGAATAACTTAGGCTACTTTTATTTTAAATGTATCATACCATCTTAATACAGTATCCTTATAGACTAGTAATAACAGCCTTTATCGTCTATCCTAACGTATTTTGGGAGATTATTAGTAATAATCCCTAAATAATAAGTTATATCCTTCATAGCCTAGGCTTTTTAGGAAGATAATTACTAAAGAGTGTAATTTTTTATAAACATATAACTCGGAACAAATCACACAGCGCTATCTAGTCCCAAACTAAGCAAAGCTTGTGTTATAGATACTAAACAGCTTATATAATTGTTTTTGTAAATACATACACCAACCAGACCAATATAAACAATCATACTTATGAATACAACTATTTGTCAAGTGCGAGGAATCGAACCCGCGACCATCAGAAGTAAGGCGTTGTCCTAAACCGCTAGACCACCAAGGCCGTTGTTTGTATAATATATGTGTATATGTGGATGCCTCGACCGCAGCCATTTCTAGCATTAAATAGCTTGCTTTGTAGCTGTTCCAGTTAAAAGGGTAAGATATACATGTTAAATTGCTGAGTACGAAGCTATTATAACTTAGTCCACGGAAATGACAACGCATAAGAGATAATATGTATTCCACGGGAGTTTAACATATTCTAATGCATTTTGTGTATATTATATAGAAGATGTGGTTGGTATTGCCTTCCTCGACGGCTGGATATCTATACATATAAATAAAATTGGAGTGTCTGTTTGTAATATTGAAATAACTGTATTTTACTACATGCATATGAATATAAATACGGTACATACATCAAAATAAGATTTTTTTACAATTTTTGTCTGTCTGCTTGTTCCGGGTAATCTCTGAAATGTCTGGACAGATTTGGACTTTTATTAGCAAGTAGCTGATGTAATAAGAAGTAACTTAGGCTACTTTTATTTTAGAAAAATAAAGTTAAATACCACGCGGGCGAAGTCGCATAGCCCTGGACAATTGACACAGCGCAATCTAGTTCTAAACTAAACAGAACTTGTGTTATGTATGCTAGACAACTGATATAATTTTATTATGAAGTCGCATTGAAAAATACACACATATTTAAAATTTTACCCTTTTAGGATCAACCTCTGTGTTTTATAGCGATATTAGTACTTCAATTTCTATGGCAAAACAACGTTGCATTATACAAAAGACATTGGTTTCGGCTAAAATGTTATATATATATGAATAAATGATTTTTGATTTGCTTTATTCATCCATCGAGAAATGACTTTTTTTAACGCACCTTTGAAGAAATCTACTTTCATAAAACGTACTCTTGTAAATGTCAGTTCTATCAAAGATTAGAAATTGATTTATGAATAAATCCCCCGGGCCAACTGGCATAATCGTATGAAACCGGCAAAAAGAAATCACAAAAATTCCTTTAGGTACATTTATTTCCTAATAAAGAACCATTCGGAAGGTAAGATCAATCGGCGTCTCAAACAGGCAGGCCTACGTGAGACGACTTAAATCTAGAATATCTGATATTGAGTTTTTGACCTCGAATATATCTTTTGACCTATAAGCCAGTGTATATTTAGACAACCTTGGTAGTAAAGCGATTTAACGCACTGCGTCGCCTTTCAATAGTCACGGGTTCGAACCTAGTAACTTAGGTTGTAACTATACAACGTCTACTTTCATGGGTTTTGTTTTTATCGCTCTGAGTGTTGGCCATATTTATTTATTTATTTATATATATGACTTACATATTTTTTAATGCTTTGTGCGCACTAAGTATATTAAATTATAATGTTTCTTACGTTACTTTCGACTTTTTTGAAAACAATGCTTTTATGGTAAACAAGCAATACAATCTAGAATAATATTTGAACAATTATTAGTAATTGAGTGGGTATGTGGTGAGTTCAGTTGAGGTAAAATAATTGAGGGTAGGTACCGGTCGTGTACGTCTGTGTATATGTCTGTCTGTGTATATGTATTTTCTAATATATAACACATATTTTAATGTAAGAGATTAAAATATGTTTCCTCGTTTTCAATTTGTGTCCACTAACGCCGCGACTTTGTGCGCATAAAATCGTAACCAAATAATGAAAAAATATTGAATAATCTAAATCAATTAATGCCAAATAAAATGTTTCTTCGTTCTAGCTTCAGAAATAACAGATTTCCAATCAGTACGAGACAGGGACAAGAATTGAAGGATATTCTCAGGAGCGATGGTTTTTATCTCCTCAGGATATAGTGTATACTTTCCAAAGGAGATATTTTGTTTATGCATAAGTGTGCTACAATCAGTTAGGATGTGTAGTAGCGTTTCCTCTTCAGATTGGCAAAATCTGCAGCTTATTGTTAAGCTCAGGCCTAATTTTGCCATTTATTTATTCAATTTGCAGTGTCTAGTGAGGGGCCCTAGTTATAATGTATATATATATTGTTTTTACTCAAATATTTGATATACTGTATGTATCTTTCTTTAAGAGTTCCAGAGAAAATAATAAAAACTTTCCATTTATTATTTATTTAAGCAACTGCTATTATATTACCACAAATAATATAATATATGTGATATTACTGACATTACCTCCGATTTTTTTTTTGCTATTATCTTTTCTCTAGTCTAGGAACGTAATTCGCGGAACCGAAAGAAACTTCATTACTTTGAGTGCTCTTAGTCTCTTAAGAGACCAAAATGTGGTTATGATCTGTGAAAACGTACCTAAATATATGACAATCTCACTGGTCCGACGGTTTAGTATACCGCTTTACTTTCGATAGTCGCAGGTTCGACGATTTGCTCGCATGATGCAAACATTTATATTCATCTTTTTCGTATCGGTTTGGATGTTTGTGTATATTATTATGTATTTACAAAAACAAATATAGTTTGTTTTTATAGATAACAATGAAATGGTGCACTCGCCTGCGCTGAAGGTTTACACTGGCGAGGCACCAGTGGAGGATGGTAATATAAGCATGAGGTCAGGTCATCCTGAGAAGTTTACCTAGAATTTATCATTATCATTTCCAGAGGCAATCAAGTTAAGGTCAACCTGACATTGTTAACAAAGAGGTCATCAGTTCAAATTACTAACAATCCCCTTTCCCCCAAAACAAATGTACTTATCATTAAGTTAGTTATCAGTATGCATAACACAATCTCTGCTTAGCTTGGGACTAGATGGCGTTATATAAAATTGTATAGCGTTATTATTATTACTATCTATTCTAGACAGCTGTACCCGCGACTTCGTAACTAACTCTATCTTTCTACATATACTCTTTTCAATATTAACACGTATTATTAGTAAGCAGGTGATGTACGAATATATTTCATGGTTTTACAACGGGATATACCCGCCTATCGTTTACAAAGTGGGTCATACCATTGTTCAATATGTATAATCCATAATGAACTATCACTGTACCATAAATGTAGGGTTGCGAACAATCAATACCATCAAATATTACTAATGTACGCCCCTAATATGTCTACCCATAATAACTGACCCAAAATTCGACGGTGTTTTCCCGTTTGATGTCTTTTTTCTGGGTGACAAATAGAGCTGTTGCAAACCGCAAGTACTGCGTACTGTATACCTAATATGATATTTGTATAGAAGTACAGCGTCGTTACTTCGGATTTTTTTAAGTGGCTTTAGTTACTTTATTTTATGGAATTGAAATACATAACTATATACATGCATACATCTTTATAGATATAAAGATTTTTATTCATGAGTATGATTGCTTGTATAGTTCTGGGTGTTTTTCTGACCCAAAAAACGACCGTGTTTTGTGTTTTATATCTTTTTCTGTATGACAAATAGAGCTGTTGCAAACCCCAAGTACTGAGTAGTATCTTGTCGGTACTTTGGAATTCTATAAGTAGCTGTAGTTACTTTATTTTATGGAATTGAGATGGCAAACAATTCATTGGTGTGTGTATTCATGTGTATGATTGTTTGTATTGGTGTGGGTGTTTCCTATGTATTTCTCCAGACGAAGTTGAATGGGTCAACCAGTATCTTATAACTATGTAGATTTTTCATGTTTCGCGGCAATTATTTTGACTTGACCGGAAGTCTTCTTAGGGTAAGCACGCGCGTTGGAAACAGCATTTTGCCGCGAACTCGTCTCGTTATTATAGGTCTTAAAAATAATTTAATATTTGATATTTTTTTTTAAGGTAATGGCTACATTGAGGGTACAGAACTGGACGGTTTCCTGAAGGAGTTCGTATCTAGTGCCAACTTTACAGATGTGAGCCCAGATGTAAGTATTACAACTAAAGTAGATATATTTTGTAGTTACATCTTTTAAAATATGAAAAAAATGTCGTCTCCATGGATACCTCAGTCTAACATATTTCAACCGCTAAGCAGGTTGCTTCGTAAACTGTCATTTGATTGTAGTGTGCGATTAGGCAGTGAACTTACAGGATTGGCATGACATCTTACTGTGCATCAACTGTTTTTCTACAAATATATATAGGTTGATGTAAGAAGGTTGAAAATTTAGGGTTGTATGTATTTTTTAATGCCACATTATAAAAAATGTTGCTATACTATTTCAGACTATAAAAATGGCATACTGAATTAAATATTGTACAATTTTATTAATGAAATATATATGGTTTCATTTTTTTAATAATTACGTGTCTTTGTGAATTTTATAATTATTTATCTATATCTATATATTGTAAAGTATAGCAGTATTTAATGCGCATATATTTGCAATTACAAGCAATATAAATCAGAAATATTAGCAATTCAATTAGTGTAGTATTCATTATTCACAGTACTTATTTATATTCATGTACAACATTAAATTTACGTCAAAGTAGTTATTCCTTGAATTAATTTCCAAGTTTAAATCCTTAAACAAAGTAATAAACAATATTTCTATAAATATACCTACTTCTTGTTTCTGTTCAAACAGGACACACTTTATTATTATATCTAATAAACAGTGTTATCGCAAATTCTGGCAGGCTAGATGGACAAACGGTGGTTAGCGGTAGCACACAGCCTTACTTCCGAGGGTCGTGTGTTCGATTCCTCAGTACAAACAGTACAAACCTTTGTATTCATGAGTATGATTATTTGTATTGGTATTTACCTTATGTATATATTTATAATCAAATATTACATTTAAGTATTTCTATCCATAATTCATAGTCATAACACGCTGTTTGGACTAGATGGCGTTGTGTGAAATGTCCAGGGTAATTATAATTATTAATATAACTGTATTCTTATAATTATTTACTGTATGTTTAAATGAATTCCATAGATATTGAAAGTTGTCTGAAGTAGAGACCCATGAGCAGCACAAATTATACATATCTATTTTAAAAACATGACTTTAATATTAGGTATATAATAATTCTTTATTGGAACTAAAAAATATAATATTATACAAAGTGTAACGATAACATACATAAAACTATTTTCTTGATTACACAATAAAAAAAGAAAGTACATTGACGCTGCAATAAGTATCTTGTATGGGCATAAATAAATATGATATTGATTTTATTTCAACTGTTCCTGGACTAAACAAACAAATAAAAGTAAATTCAACTTTGGGATTCCGCGGAACTAAAAGCTATCTATTGTAAACTGAATATAAATATAATTAAATCATTAAATCTAATATTTCAATATTACAATTAAAACTCTTATAAATTGACTAATTATAACTAAGTAACTACCACCATTGGGGGAAAGGAGATTGTTGGTAATGTGGACTGATGATCTTATTGCCAGCAATGTATCATGTCAGGTTGACCTCCACACGGTTCCCTTGGAAACCATCTTGATAAATTCTTGGATAATTTACCACGATGGGCTAACTGACCTGATCTCATGTTCATCTTATCATCCTCCACTGGTGCCCCGCCAGCGTAAACCGATAGCGCAGGCGGGTGCACCATTCCATTATCATCCACAGCGTACAGTACCCACAGCACACACAGCGTTAGGTTGCTTAGAAGAGATCTCTTTCAGAGGAAACCCCACCTTTGCTCACATTTTTGTAATTGTCTTTATTTATTAATGTTACAAGTTCAATAAAGTATATTATACACAATTTGTAGTTAACCACAATTAATGTAACCCTCACTTTATTCGTCAATTTCAACACACACATTATTTATTTTTATCATACCAGCAGCACACCTTTCTCCAGTGAACGCTGCAAGTTCTGCTGCAGGTAAACATAGACTCTTCGTAGCGTTATCATTGTTCTTGTGATTCCCAGTTACTTGTCGATCTTCAGTTGGTCGTTGCTTTTTGTGGTTGTCAAATATATGCTTGTCGGTGCTTACTGCTGGATGTCCTGTCGTGATTGTTCTCATAAAAACTGAGTCCATTCTCCTCCACAGTGCATCACACGGACTATTCGTAGTTGATGACAAAAACTTTTCATCCAATATAGTAGCACTTAAAATACTTTGAAAGCAAACGAAAAATAGTATAATATACATCATTTTACAACTGTGTATCGTCACGATTAAATATATTTAAAGACTGACCGGTTTTTACCAAAAACAGCGTCCATATTAACATAAATTGGAACAGGATTATTGTATATTATTTATTTTCCAATATATTTAAAACAACTGCAATTTATTGATGATTTTTTAAGAAACCTGTCGTTCCTGTTCCTATACCCTGTTCTATATGGATATTATAAAAACAGATAACGAATATTGTTATAAGAAACGTAAAGTGACACCGGCGTGATGACACCCAAAAAGTCATGAGGTTAAATTTGGCGCAAAACAAAAAAGCTTTAATTTATATTTCTGACTAACCTATCGATCATAGAAACACTGATGACAACGAAAAATTAAACCGAGAGGAGGCTAAGTGGATTAAAAGATACCCAGCGAAATGTGGGGATATCGAGTGTTGCCGCTAATCAACTCTGTCTCCACTATTTGGGATGGAATTAAAGTAGTAATTTAAAGAAATCTATCACTGATAGGTAGTCTTTGAAGTTACTTTGAGACCTGAATAATACGTATATTAATGTTACTCACTAATACAAGGTAGGTACTTTAGTCATGACATTTTTTTTTCTCTGTCTTTATAGTATTAGTATAGACAACCGGTCAATTTGTCATGAGTAAAGTTCCATTTATGTATAACTAGATGTGCCCGCGACTTCGTACGCGTAAATTGTCAATACTTCCATATAACCTTTCATCTCCGCTTTCAACCCGATACATCCCTTTATCGGATTAAAAAGTAGCTTATGTCCTTTCTCAGGTTCTAGACTATCTGTGTACCAAATTTTATTTAATACGATTCAGTCGTTTTGGCGTGTTGGCGAGACAGACAGACAGACAGAATTACTTTCGCATTTATAATATTAGTAAGGAAGTAAGGATAAGGATGGCTAGGATAGGCATAAAGTCAGATTAGTTAATTAATTGTGACAAATTCACTAGAAATAATACGTATTTTTTTGTTTTACGAGTAGTAAAACAAAAAAATACGGATTATTTCTAGTGAATTTGTCACAAGGAATTGTGCAAAGAGTTTTACAATGTAAATAAATTATATTTAAACTTACAAGTTATTTCTTGTGGTGTTACTACATAGACCTGAAGTCTGAACTAGGTAAAAATCTGTACTACTAAAATAGAATTCACTTAATAATATATATTTGATCTGTCAAACGACGATAAAAAAAAACTATAAATTATCAGTCATATGAAGATATAATCAAAAAACAAAACAGGCGAATTATTCAATTAGATTATAGATGTTCTATTCGAATTAAAAATTATTGTAAACATGTACAACATTCTGAACTGATGGTAGATTTGATATATCATAAGAGTCTGTAATAGGCCTACATGAATAAATTTATTTTGAATTATTCATTTCGAATTTGAATCTCTTATGTAAATTTTATAGGAATTCACATTATTTTTAGATCGAACGTAAGTGAACCTAATAAATTACAAACAAAATGTAGAATGACCAACATGTATTGAAGTAAATAGTGCGTAATTTATTTAATAATTAAATACTTAGTAATTACAAATACATAATAGTGATAGATTAGTGTAAAATTTCTCATTATACACTAATCTATCACTATGTGCTCATCACTTTTTATAATTTAACAATATACATAATAACTAATAACAAGTACTTACGTATTACATTTAATAATAAATACTTAGTAATTACAACTGATAACATCATCATCAATTAATTTTAGCGAAACTAAAAGCATACTTTCTATAACGGATTCATAAAATCTATATATTTAAAACCGCACTTTATTAAGATGTCTCAATGCATACATCGTTTACTTTTATCATTCCAGACGCACAATTTTCTCCAGTGAACGCGGCAAATGGCCTAATTAAATCTGAACTCTCTGTAACCTTATTATCGTCCACGTCATTTCTAATTTGTCGACTTTCAACACTAGATTCAAATGTTGCTTGTGTTGGTCTATGCTTTTCATTTTCATACTTGTTATCTACATCTTCGTCACTGATTGGTGACTGACGTTTGGTCTCATGTTCTCTCATTAAAACTAACTCCATTCTTCTCTTAAATGTTTCTTCCGGGCCATTCGTGGTCGACTCTAAATATTTCTTATCCGATATACTAGCACTTAAAACGATTTGAAAGCAAATGCAATATATAATAATGTTCATTATATAGACACAGTGTATCATCGCGGCCAGATGTATTTATAGACTGACCTGACCGACTGTTATACTAAAACCAGTGTTGATAATGATGTATATTAAGAAACGATTACTGTAGATATGCATTATTTATTTTTTCGTAATTAATTATATTCACTATACTTAAGTAATCATACTTTTCGGTGACTTTTTAAAAAACCTGTGTTATTAGAGTTCGGTAGTCTATGTTAATACTATAAAAAGTTTATATATACCCTTGAGTAAAGTACATTCCATAATGGTTTGAGAAATTCATCCCATACAATCTTTCATTTCATTTTCAAGACTTAACAACCCTTTTCTCGCTTTAAAAATTAGCCATTATCCTTGCTCAGAATTTTAGACTGTCTGTGTAAAAAAATAATTAAAATCTGTTTAGTAGTTTTAGCGTGAAAACGCGACTGACGGACAGATAGAGGATATTTTCGCATTTTTATTGTTAGTAATGAATAAAATTATTTCCTTGAGACAATTGAAAAATAGAAAAATATTGATGAGATCAAATATTATTATGAAGGGGGAAGGGGAAGGGAAGACCTCCAGCAAGGTGGAC